ATTTCACACCTTAATTACACAGAATCGAGGCGTGTTTGAATTCCAGGCCAATAGTTTCCATCTCATCTGACCCTGAAGATTTTAATCCTTTAACACCTGGACATTTCCTAATTGGGACTACATTAACAGCAATTCCTGAACCTGATCTTACAAATAATAAGCTAACCCCTGCTGAAAGATGGAAATTGACACAGCAAATTTTCCAGAGCTTTTGGAAACGTTGGTCTAGAGATTATCTTTCACAATTACAAGGGCGTACCAAATGGTTGAGGGATAAACCAAATTTAGCCCTCAATGACTTAGTCTTGATAAAGGACGAAAATTTGCCTCCATTAAAGTGGCGACTTGGACGAGTAATTGAACTATATCCTGGTGCTGATGGAAAAGTTCGTGTTGTGAAACTAAAAACTTTATTGGGCGAAATGAAGCGTCCTATACATAAACTTTCCCGCTTACCATTGAGTGAATAAGACTCTAAAAAAAAAAAACATTAATTGTATATTCATAATTTGTGTCTTTATTATTATTAATTCAATTATGTTTCAGATTCAGAGAATGGACCACAATTGTGGATTATGGTAATTTAGCAGTTTCATTATTTTGTTTTCCTTCTAGAGATTGTAAGTATGTTTTATTTGTAAAATTTTGTGCTAAATTTAATGTTGTTATTCAATTTAAATTTGTCATTATGCATTTTTATTTTATATGATATACTGTTGAACTTTGGAAAACTTGTTTAAATCTAAAATTGAAGATCTTTATAATAATGTTGTAATGAACCAATGTTCATCGGGGCGGAGTATGTTCCGTCTTTTTGGTAGATAGGTGGCGCTCTTGATGCGCGCCGATGAAAAATTTTTCACTTGACGCTTGAACATGAACAATGACGCATGTCATTTTTATTTGATGCTTGATTATGTTTCATGGCCGCTATAGGCGGAAGTAATATAAGTAATATAAGTTTATCGTTAATAAATGTTATTTCTATGTTCTGTGAAATCTTGAAGTTTTGATTTGAAATTCTAATGCTCTCCCAACCTTGACTCCTGAAACGAAACGATCTTTGAATTTAACTCATAAGAGACCATAATTTTTGAGTCCATACCCCTACCTCCGTATGATGAGCGCCATTTTTGTTTTAGATAACTCTTTGATGGTAATTTATCCCTAATTACGCAGAGGACCACACTCGCAGAGACTTTTTGAGGTGTCGTAGTCTCATAGCCGAGTGTGTGGTCCACTCTGGCGGTAATTCTAAGGGGATAAATATGTACACAGATCAAGCAAGAGTTTAATTCTATAAACCAAAAGAATGGCGCGCGTCATTCGATACGGAAGCTGAGAGGGAGTGTACTCAGCAGCTTTCAGAAAAATGTATGGTCTCTCTCTTCAGGAGTCAAGGTTGGGAGAGCATTAGAATTTCAAATCAAAATTTCAAGAGTTCACAGAACATAGAAATAACATTTTTTAACGATAAACTTATAATACTTATATTACTTCCGCCTATAGCGGCCATGAAACATAATCAAGCATCAAATAAATATGACATGCGTCATTCTTCATGTTCAAGCGTCAAGTGGAATATTTTTCATCGGCGCGCATCAAGAGCGCCACCTATCTACCAAAAAGACGGAACATACTCCGCCCCGATGAACATTGGTTCATTACAACATTATTATAAAGATCTTCAATTTTAGATTTAAACAAGTTTTCCAAAAGTTCAACAGTATATCATATAAAATAAAAATGCATAATGACAAATTTAAATTCAATAACAACATTAAATTTAGCACTATGGTCCGTCGAGCCGGAAGCTGAGAGGGAGTGTACTGAGCAGCTTTCAGAAAAATGTATGGTCTCTCTCTTCATGAGTCATAAATTCAAAGATCGTTTCGTTTTAGGAGTCAAGGTTGGGAGAGCATTAGAATTATGACTCATGAAGAGAGAGACCATACATTTTTCTGAAAGCTGCTCAGTACACTCCCTCTCAGCCTCCGGCTCGACGGACCACAGGTACCTTACACCATTTACACAAAAGACACTTATTCAACATGGATCTGAAGAATTGGCATCCCTTTATGATATAAAACTTTGCTGTAATTTAACCTAAAATAGCTACAATTCGAACACGAGGCAGTGTGGTATGAGACTATACAATCCCGAACTCACTATATTTATCTTTATAAGATAACAGCTATGTTTTCTCCGAAATATGTTTCGGAATATAGAATGAACTATGAAATATAGAATGTTTTTCTCTGAAATTAAGATTTGAGAGTTGAAGTCTGCCCTTTAAATGCAGAAGACCATATATATCTAGTTCTGGGTTAAGTGAATAAATTGTAGATGTCTTCTTATCTGGGAATTTTCCACTTGAAAGGTGCTACATACTTCAAAGGTTCCCCTAGAATCTCTTTTTTAAAGTGTTTTGTTGTGTACCTTTAATCCAGTAGAGCTCAGCTCCCATTACGCATGCTGTAATCCAATACATTACTCAATTGGTTGAATGTAGTAATGCATAAGTTTCTACGACTTGAAGAGAAACTTGAAGGAAATGTTTTCTCCTTTGTTTTGTTCTGAACACTCCTCGTCGATTTTTATCTGTTCAAACAACTTGAAAGTGTTCTGGCCAAACACTTTCAGGTTGAGAGAACCCTGCAACGAAAGGAAACTTCTCAGTAGGTTAATGGCACTCTCCTCAAGATTAATAAATTAGAAGGGTTTTCTTTCCCACACCAGTAAAAACCGCCATTCAGGATCCTTGACTGAATCTCAGGAACCCTGTTTAACACAGAGGACTTCCAGTTTCTGGCACATCCCTTTATCCAGTAAATTGGCTATCACTCTAAAAAAATGTTTGATAGCACAGTTCAAGAAATTAATCTGCCAAATACTTAGACAATTTGGCAGCCACTAAAGCAGCCATCAATTCCAAACAAGGAAGAGCTATAGTTTTAAGTGGAGTCACGTAACCCTTTGCAGCAATGAAATTTGTGCAAATGAGATTTTTTGAAGCAAGATATCCTATTGTGCAATACACTTTAGGGCTAGCATCAGTGAATACATGGAGACTAACATTAGATTTTTCACCAACTACCAAAATATTTTCTTGAAAAAGGAAAACCCATGAGCACCTCAGCTTGTCAGCAAATTCAGTCCTTATTTATTTTTAATGGAAGAGTATCATCCTAGTTCACACCCAATGTCTTTATTTTTTGTGAAGATTTTCGTCAGAAAAAGTTAAAACAAAGAATAAACATTGGCCACTGTTTGGAGAATAGTTCTTTTTGTGTCCTCAGCTGAGGTATATGATAGTTTTCCTAAACACTCTCAATTCAGTTTGATCTTGTCTGTATTGGGGTTCCAGATCATGCCCCAAAATTTTGTCTCATTTAGTATTTCTACTTTATAACCCCTATAAATCCATCAGGAATTAAATTCCTTGGAATTGACCTTAATTTTCTGATTCTTCTCAGCGTCTGTAAAAATCTTAATCCCATCTAATGGTAATCAGCATGCATCTTTAACAGTGTCTTCACCGTAACACAAATCGTTTATGTACAAAGAGGAATCTAACGTTTCATAACCTTCCGGATTTGTGCTTTTATATCTTTAGTGTGTAATTTTATCATCATTGCTGGGCTACTATAAATTACAATTGGACTATTAAAATCGCTGGACTACAACAAAGTGCGGATGGAAGAAATATGAATCTTAAAACTTTATATTCTTCTTCACTATCTGTGAACCAAACAAATTTTAAATAATCCCTATCCTTCTCTAAGATCCATATCATTAAAAAGGCCTTAGCTATATCTCTGCTGAAACCAATTTCATATTTGCAAACTTTTAAAATTATGTCCAAAACCATTGGGGACAAACTAGAATTCTAGAAAATCATTTAAGGATTTTACACTTTAACCTTTGCTACTTCAGAATTATTTTCTAACCGTTCTGCTTCCGATTTCCATAATAAGCCAACATATTATCTATTACCTTCAACCCGTATCCTCTTCCAAAGTTCTCAATTTTTTCTCTTTCTTCATTAAAAATCACTGAATCATTGGTAATGTCCATCAGATCTTAAGGCCTTAGTACTCTCAATGAATCTGTTATGCAAGAAGAAAAGTTCACTGTTGTAGTGTTTTAAGAAAACATTCAATTATCTTAATCTTTAAAGACAACTGGGACCCACCAAATAGTGGAAATTACATAAGTTTCCTTCCCTTCTGACTCTTTGCCTCCCTTACAGTTTTCCAGTAATAATCAACACCTATCAAAATTTGAACACTTCTGTTAACTAAACAAGTGATTCGCAATCTACAGTCATTCATCATTTTCAGTGTTTGTTTTAACAGCACAGTCATTTGCGCAGCTGTAATGGTGTCTGTGATGAGGCAGCTAATTTTTATTTTGTTCTTTTGCTTCATGTCCAAAGTATAAAATTCAACAAGTTTTTATGTCTTAGGTGCTGCTCATTTTATTCCGAAAGAATAAACAGACAGGGTTTATTTGCCAACAAAGTTTCATTTCTTAACTACACTAATATGAACAAAATGTCGTATATGTTTCACATATTCACTCTGATTGGTCAGCGCTTATCCCAAGTTGGGATAAAGTTGAAAACTTCAAACTTTATGCAGAGCCCTAAACCAGATTTTGTGATGTAGCACAGACTGGTTGCCTGGCGACGCAGCTCAGCTTAAACCACTTATGCCCTTTATACCATCATCTGAACTCAGCTTTATATGTCAGCAAATATGGTGTGTGTGTGTGTGTGTATATATATATATATAGAGCGAGAGAAAGAGAATATAGCTAAATCACTTTGTTTTGATGAAATTTTTATTGATTTTACTGTAAAATTTGATTAGTAGTGTGCTAATTTCTTGTTTTCTAACAGTTTAGTGATATATTGCATTTCTTACATAATTCTGTATTAATTACCTAATAATTTTTTTATATATTCTATTTCATGCATAATTTTGTGTATTTTAAAGGTTCTGTTGATAGTATTTTGGAAGAAATTGATGATTCTTCTGTTTCTAACCAGCATTACTTTTTGCATGATGAACTTATACATATTTGCCTGCAGCCATCTGAGTAAGACAAATTATCCTTTATTTTAAAATAAGTACAACAATAGTACGTTTAAAAGAGAGTTTTGAGCTTACTCTTGTAATCTTATTTTTCCCCACCTGTTCTTTAGAAATGGCTCTAATTGTAAAGGACCAAAACAACCTCTTCAGAAATTTGTAAGATGCTCAGTCAGAGCACAAGTCTTTCACTTGAAAAAACTTATCAAGAAAATCTGGCCTCATGTTTCAAATAGAGAAGTAAGCCATGTAGTTCCTTTTTCAGTTATAGAATTTGTTATAAATTATTTTACTCAGCATGCACTTGTATTTAATAAAATGTATGATTATTACACAAAAAATATTACATTTGTATTACACAAAAAAGTAAGTAGTATTATGTAGTAATTCATAATTGTTTTAACTAAATATATTCTTTTAAGGAATTTTAATCTGTTTATTATCAAATGTATTTTTAGATTGTAAGGCCTTTAATGTATGACTCTCCTAATGTTTCCTATTTTGTAATATATATGACACTTGTTATTTTCAGATTAATATATATTATCTCATTTATTACTTATTATTATGTTAGATTTCTGATCTTTTTACTTTCATAAATAACATTTGATCACCATAGAGAAGTGCTTATATCTTAAGTATAGAAACATAAAGAGGACAAACTGTATGCATTGAACTGAAATTTTGTAAATATCAGAATATGAAGTTGAAATTTTATTAATATCAGAATATGAAGTAATATATTAAGAAAAAGTCCTCAGTCTTCTTACATATTAAAATTTTGAGAGTTAAATTTACCTTCATTGAATTTTTTAAATATTGGATAATTTTGAATTTAAAGTTTTATGACAAACTTGCAGACCAGTGGCTGAGAGTTTGAGAAAACCAGTTCTTTTTTTTTCCAGATTGGTTTCTGATTGCCAAACAGGTTTTCGCTTTTTTTTTTTTTTTTTTTTTTTTTTAAATTTACCTGATATGTCATAAATAAGACAGTTTCAAAAATTGCTTTCTTCCATGGAAACATACTTCTATAGTCACAACATGCTATTGTATGCTATTACTTTAATTAATCACAAACTTATCAAAGAAAAGTTTATGCTTTTTAATTTGTTGGAAAGTTCATGAGAATATATACGAGGGCTATCCAGAAAGTAGATTACGTTTTGGAATAAAAAAATAAACAAAGTATAGGAAACAAATTTTATTATATACAGATGAAAGCCACACTCAAATACTACTTTTCTACATAGTCACCATACAAATTAAGGCATTTATCGTAGCGATGTACGAGCTTGGAAATTCCTTCGTCGAAAAATTCGGCCGCCTGCGCCTTCAAACCACTTCGTTACCTCTTCTTGCCTTCCATCTTGCACAAAACTTGTGGTAACCAAGCTTTTCGCTGATGATTTCGTGCAACAAACTTCGCGAAATTTGTGGAAAACTCAAAGAAAGTTCCGTTATTGTGAAATTTCGATTTTCACGGACTTTAGCATCGACTTTTTCGAGAAGTTCGGCGGTCACTATGCTGGGTCTCCCACTTCGATCTTCGTCGTGAACATTGGTTCGGCCATTTTGAAATCTTATGACCCACTGACGCACTCCACCTTCAGTGATTCAGTGATAATGTTGTCCCCATACACTTCACGAAGCTGCCGATAGATTTCTATCGGTTTACAGTTTTTTGCAGTCAGAAACCTTATTACTGAGCGCACCTCGCAGCTCGCGGGATTTTCAATTAACGCAGACATTTCAAACCGTCACAGTATCTGAACGGAGCACAGCACGAACCTCTCACTAGCACGGCTAGATGCAGACTGAGCTGCGCAACGCTCTGACCCCAAGATGGCCACGCTAGCCCCGCCCCTAGCGGACACAGACGGAAACGTAATCTACTTCCTGGATGGCCCTCATATATAGAAGCTTCATTTAAAGCACTTAATGGTTAGAGATTTAATTAAACATTTTTCTTGAACTACATGTTAAAAATAATGAAATAATATTAGGGTGAAATGCTAAATTGTCATTATGCAATCATTTTTTAATTATATGCCTATGGATTATATAATGCCTATGCATTATATGAATGTGTAATGTGAATTACATGTTGATATTTTTAATATTCCTACTTTTTAAAAAGAATAGTATGAATAATTTTATTTTATTTGCACCCTTACTACCACTTTTACTTGATTATAAGGGAATAATACTTTCAGAAGGAACCTTATGATGGTGTGAAGGTTTTACTTTCAGCTGATCTTTCTAACTATGGAGACACTATTTTCAACTGAATTAATAACTGTTTGAATGATAGTAAGGATGTACTGGACCCTTTTAGAAAATATCCATCTGCAAGTGAAAAATATTCACTTATTTTTAAACTATAAAAGTACATTGTAACTTTATTCATTTGAGAACATTTAGTACCTTCTCCTTAAAATAAAATAACTAAACTTGGGAATTAGAGAATAATTTAATTTGTAAAATGTGTTATAAACGATTTTAGGAAATATCCATCTACAATGAAACATATTTTCTAATTTTACATCTCTAAGTCACACTGAAATTTTATTCATTTGAAAAAATATTCAGCATCTTCTCAAATGCAATATTAGACTATAAAACCAGTTTTTCTTTACATTACAAAGTCGCAAATGTGGACATCCAATATCTAGAATGATCTAAAATCTGGACGTCCAGATCACCAACAACTTTTTTAATATTTCATGCAAATGGTTGATATTTTTTCATAGTAAAACATGGAGAGTCCCAATTTTTAATTTCACTTCAGCACAATACGCAGCAACTTGAGAAGTGACTCATTCAGCAATGTCTAAACAATTATATAAGTAACTGAATACTAAAGAATGTTACAACCTTTTATGTTGACATTACGCTTGGCAGTGAGTACAGCCATCATTCAGCTGTAAAGTGTTGAGTATGTTGACAAGAAATTTAATAGAAATTTCTTTATTTATCCAAAAAAAAAACAGATTCTGTAAATTATCTTTATAGGCCAAAAGATTGCATTTAGTGCTATTTGAATGGAGAATAATTTTTTTGTTATTCAAATAAACCCAAGACTGGTGTGGCCGTTTCTAGCAACAGAATTTAGGAAAGGCACTGGAACACAAAATTTTTATACTTTACCAAGGTGCTTGGCAGCAGAATTTTGGATCCGTGGATACTGCACCGGGCCACAAAATGTTTAGCGGATTGTCTAGCACAAATTGTCTGCTCTGAATAAGTCTAAGTATATGTGCAATTTTCTTTATTTAGCATTCAGATAAGCCTGTGCAATGTGCAAAAATAAGCGTAAGTATAATAAATAACTAATATAATTCAGGCTTAACTTCATCAGTACGCAATAAAGCAAGATAAAATTCAGTGGAGCAGCATCTTTAGTCACCAGTCTTGTAATACATCGGCAATAGTGTGTAGTAGATGCTAGTTAAGTTTTATGATGAATTTGAAGGTTGGTTTCTCAGATATTGCAAACAAAAAGCAAAATTTTCCAATTAATGGATGTAAAAAAACTATGGGGAAGTAGTACTAAATGAAGATGATACAACAAAAGATTTTTATTTTGATGACAATTCCCCAATCATAAATCAACTAATGGACTGCAAAATCTGTAGTATGGTTTTCTAAATCCAGAAAATATCACTATTGATAGTGAAGAAAATGATAGGTTGCTGAGAATGAGAAAATTTTAATTGACAATTTAGTGCGAATTCTTGACTTGGTAATTACAGGACTTGAAGAGTGGAACTTTGTAAATAAACAAGAAATTAGGGTTATCTATAGAATTAAAGAGAAAGTGTTAGCATAAAAAAGATACAAGTTAAGCAACTTGCATTCAAAGAAATGTTTAATGTACCAAATAAATACTAAGCTGCTGCCCCCCCTTTTTTTTAATGTGTGTGTAAATTTTGATGCCCTTAAAGTTATAAAGGCTTCACTATTTTATAAATAATTATTTCATATTCTTAACTTTATAATTTCTACATGTCATTTGACTAGATTTAAACTGATGATCTAATATATAGATAAATTCCAAATTGATAATCAATAAGTCAAAATGAGACCATATTTCCGACTTTGTACTGTATTAATAAATTATAGCTAAAAATTTGAATGTAACTTTACTTCTAACTAACTCTTAATACTTAAAACTGGTAATCAGTGTGTGTTATATTAGCTATTAGCTGATATCTGTTTATTTAAAACATGATATTGTTCACATATATGCATTCATGCTACGTTTCCTCATGCTGTAATCAAAAGCAGTCTCCCCACTTCCCACTGTACATCAAATCAATTCATTAGATGCTTCCTATTTAAATTAGTAATGAGTAGTTAAAATGGGGGGGGATGCATATTCTTTTTCTTGGTATGTTCTTGTTTGATTAAATAGAAAAATGTTTTCATTAAAAGTAATTCAAAGTCTAAAACATGCGGCAGCAAAATAAAAGTAATACAATAATATAATAAAAATAGAATTGAGTTTTCAAGTGCATCCAAAAAGCACTATTTACCAATTTGGGATATTATTATTATTTCTTCACTTTTTGTACTCTTCTGTAATATAGTTCTTTCAGTCATAATATTCAATATAGTTTCTAAATTTGATGAACCTGCAACCTTAAGTGGTGTTTGTTTAACCTCTGAATGCCATTATTGTTATAAAAGAGTATCCTGGTTGAGAGGAAGTATCCTGTAAAACAGTAAGTTTGTGGTATTGGGAGCTTTTTATATTATTTTAGCTTCTTGAAACATGTAAAATGGAAACTACAGACAATTATCAGCTTGTTGTATCAAGACAATGATATGTGTAAAAATTAATCTTATACATTTTATGTGTATTGATAATACTGCTGGGAAATATGTATTTTACAATTATGAAAAACTTTGTAACAATGAATTGAGATTTAATGGTTTTCTTGAAATTTAACAACAGAAAAATAAAATATGAAAATGAGATTTCAGGGGAGATAGTAATCTTGGAAATGGGTGGAATATTTTATAGTGTGATATTGCTTAAGCAGCTAATAATGGATATGGATCCTGATAATTAGTGAAATGTGATTATTTGCCTTGGTCTAGAAAAGTGTTTGTTTGTTACCGAAGAATTTACACTGTTAGGAAAGGGATTTAAACTGTTCAAATGTCACTTGTTAACTTGTACTTGTCACTTGTTAGCTTGTATGTGTATCAGTTACAACAAGCATTGTTAACATTTG